CATGGTTTTAAAAAAGGCATGGGGCTTCCCTGGTGGCGCAGTGGTTGAGAGTCCGCCTGCCGATGCAGGGGACACGGGTTTGTGCCCTGGTCCAGGAAGATCCCACATGCCGTGGAGCGGCTGGGCCCGTGAGCCATGGCAGCGGAGCCTGCGTGTCCAGACCCTGTGCTCCGCAACGGGAGAGGCCACAACAGTGAGAGGCCCACGTACCACACACACACACAAAATAAATAAATAAATAAATAAATAAATAGAAAAGACATGGCCCTACTTCAAGCACTTGCTCTTCTATTGCCAAACCTGCACTGATATAGAGGCTGCTAGTGAGTGCCTGCTAAGAGAGTTCATAAAGAATTTTAGCCTATAAAGGCTCAATTTGCTTGTATTAAAATGATTACTGGCTAGCTCCAAGAATATAGAGAAGTTTAACTGAACACTAGCAGATTCAGGAAGATAAAGAGAAAAAAGGCTGGTGACACACATAACAGAATAGACTGATGAAAGGCCAGCACAGTGAAAGCCAACCAATAAACTTGACATCCAGAAGAGACTGACCCAAGGAAACCATCCTCCTATTGAACAAAACAAACCATGAATCAAACACGCATGGGAAGAAAAAAAAATGTTTTCTTACATTCGATGTGAGGACATTATTTTGTTTCACAATGAATTTTTGTATTCACAAAAAAATTGAAATGATTAATTTAGAAAAAGCTTTTAAATTTGTATCATAAGCTGATCACCACCTATGCTGTGTTTGCCAAGCATGTGAAATATAATATTGGCTTTATCTGTCCTCTAGAAAGAATCTCTAGGGTTCTATCATTTGTTGCCCCCTGAAAACAATTGCTATCAGCCCATCCAACTCTTTACGTGGACCTCCGATTGGTTTTCATAACAAAGACTACAGATAGGTAAGGGCAGGAAGGAATTCAAGGAGAAATGAGGGCAAAGTGAAGATCATGAATTGACAAAAGTCCTCTCATTTCAGGTTAAAAAAATATGAAATTCATTGTATTTCTCAATACCAAAGAAAAAAGTACGTTCTGTGCAGTAGCCTGGTTTATTTGCAAGAACCCAGTGTTACATTTCCAGTACAATCCGATAGATGAATGTGTGTGCCCAGGAATACATGCTTGGGTATATGTAATTGACAACATCTTGAAAGTGACAGGTCAGTGCCTAGCAATGCACCTAGGAAGCCAGGTCATTTGACAGCAAGTAGACCTCTAGACAGAAAGCTCCATCAGGGCTCGTAGAATCTGCTCTTTGCACCCTCCTTCAAATCTTTAGACCTGGGCTCAGAAGTGCAAGAGTAATGAAAAAGCCTGAATTCAGACTCTGGATCTACCACTGACTAGGTATGTGGCTGTGGACATGTTCTTTTCCCTACCCTCTCAGAGCCTCAATTTTCTCAAGTGTAAAATTAAGGGTAATGATAGTATGTAATTCCTAGCATTTATGGGGATTTCATGCAATTGTATATGTGAAGAACTTTTCATGCTACCTGATACTTAGGAATATAGTTGGTCAATATTAAAAAGACCAGGCTGACTCTCCTTCCTCCCAAACCTGAGCCTGAATGGATTCGAAACTGAACCAGTGAGTGCATTCACCAATGTACCATTGCTTTACACATCCCTGCTCTAGTGCTCAGATCCTAGAGCTCTTACCACAGCCCAGGTACCTCTGTGACTAGGCTGCACTTTCAGGCCAGAGCTGCAGAAAAAAGGGTGCTCCCTGAGGTTCTAGGCAGTGGCCCACATTGGATTACCATGTCCAGAGGAAGGCTCTGACAACAGTGGAGCCTTCTCAGCCTTTCCATCAGGTTGTCAGTACACAGCCCAAAGACGTAACTAATGTCAAAGATCCATGAGAAGGCAAGACTCAAATTCAAAAGGACGTCAAAAGAAGGATTATAATATTATGTACACCTGGGTGAAATAAGGGCAGCTAGGTGTAATTAATGGGCCTTTGAATGAAATTTGGAACGTCCTTGTTGCTCTGTAATATTCTGCTGTGGAGATTGAAGCGGGAATGGAAAGGGCAGCTCCCCTCTCTGAGTTTGTACTGCTTGGCCTGCCTCCCTCACACCAGAGCCTGCCTCCCTCACACCAGAGCCTCCCTTCGGACCAGAGCACTGGAAGCCTTAACTGCCACTCATTCCCTTGTCTGGCTCCCTGCTCTGCTGCACTGCCTAGTCAGTCTTCTTTGACTGGAAATTCAACATCCCCTGCAGAAGGTCTGCTGTGGCACTTTGAAGTTATTTGCATCCACTCTGAAGAACCTTTTAGTTCTCGTTCTAAATTGAGTGCCTTCGTGGTTTCAAACCCCTGATAAGCAGGGCAGCTGGATTCTACAGCAGTCACACTGGGTCACAGTTCTGAGTCACGTCAGTGAATTGATGCATAAAACTGACAACATCATAAATCTCTTCATGGCAGGTAGGAAACGGAAATAACCAGTGCTAGTCGGTAAAACAGTTATACAATGTGAAGAGTTTTGTTCCAAGATGAGTAAGGCATACATGCCTATCCTGATTTGTTGACAGCACTTTGGGGGTTAGCTGAATTCCCACAGGGAATCATATTGTAGTTTGGTTTGGACATATTCTGGAGATAAGGATGTAGCCATTTACCACCCCAGTCCTAGCACAATGCCATACGGGAAAGCTTGATACAGTGCCAGGAAGGTTGATCTTCCTCCTTCAGCTATAAGGTTGCCTGCCATCCCCCCACTCTGCCTGATGTGGCAGAGACCATGAGGCAAAAGAGAGAATGACTTTGAGCCCAGTTTTCCTACTTAGTATTCACTTTGAGTGAGTAATACACATCTCAAAAGGGTGGGTGAAAAAAAAAGAGGGTGGGGAAAAACAACAGGTAGTCCTATGTATCATGTGCCTAGCAGAGGACTGGCTGAACTCAAGTACACTCAGTACTGTCACTTCCTTCCCATCCCTCTCTGCCTTCCACATGCTACAACCCCTTCCTGCTAATAGGTGTTAGACAAAATATATTCCCATCATCACAAGCAACAGCTTTGGCCCTCTGCATTAGCCCTGTCCATAGCCCAGTAATGCACAGCCAGCATCAGTATTTATCTCAAGGTGACACTTGTAATGGATGATTGGTGCACTTCTTAATCCATTTACATAATCCTTTCTGCTTTGCTTGCAGTTATTTTCAGGGCTTTAGCAGCAATAAAATGGTTCCTTTCCCAAGACAGAGTTCATTCACTTTAAATCTGGCTTGATTATAGCTAAACTTATGACATGTCTTTACAAAGGAAGGGGAAAAAAGCAATAAATTATGCACAGTAATTATTTAGCATTTATTCAGCCCCCACAGTGTCCTGGGCTCAGCATATAACAGTTGGGGGAAAATCCCTGACCTTGAGAATCAAAGGCACTCAAGGCAGAGCATCAGTCCAATTGCCATTTAATTCCTTATTCAAGGGGTCATTGACCGTATGGCCAGCCTTTTAGCTGACTTCATGGGGTTAAGTGGACTCTCCACCCACTCGTGCCTTCTTTTATTTCTGTTTCATTCAGATGCATTCTACTGACAGCATTCTTAGCCTTTGACCTCTACCCCAAAAGAGCACTCCTTACTGTTCCTCAGGCAGTTTTGGTTTAGGACTAAGACATTTAATGGGGCTAGAATCCAGAGTAAGCCTGATGATGACTGCCTAACGTTTGTGGGATTCCTTCTGTGGTGGCCTGGCTGGTGACACGGGAAGTGCACTCGGAAATGGTGTGGAACCTGGAGGCGGGCGGGGACAAAGGACTTTCTTATAACTGCATTCTTGTGAGAAGATAGTCATGTACATTCACCCACCAGACGATTTGGATGCCAAATAGATGGGTGATTAGATGGATTTTGAGACCACAAATTAAAATGTAATTTATATACTACAATAATACAAATTTAACTCAAGTAAAATATTAATGACTAAAATTTGAAAATTTAGGGTGATGCTCTTAATTCATAGAAGTCCCAATAACCAACCCCCCCCCAGATAATCATTTACATAGAATAACGGCCAAAAGAGAGAAATAGAGGAGAAAGATCTGAAAAAAAATTTTTTTTAATTATTGACCATTTGACTTTAAAGGAAAAAATTGGAGGAAAAATCAAAATGAATCAAGATGAATAAAATAACCAGCATTAATTAGTACCAGGCACACTGCATTCAATACTTCAAATATTGCTGTGAAATAACTAAAGTTATACTATTTACATTTTATAGATGAAGAAGCAGAGGTTTGGAGCAGTCAAGTAACTTTCCAACTAAAAGGAGGCATAGCCATTATGTGAATGCAGCTGTAGCTTTACCGCAGAGCCCAAGCACTTAACCAGTGTTCTGTACTGCCATCTAGGACCCAATGCACAAATATCCATCATATTCACAACCCCCCAAAAGCCATGTCCTTTGACATTTTGGTTGACCTCGGAGTTAAAATGAAGCCAAAACCTTTTTATTCCTCACATTTACTTGTAAAATTTCACTGCCAGGTGCATCGATTAGAGTAATTCTCCCTAATGTGTCCCTGATATAATTCAAATTGTATTTAAGTAATGGCTTACAGTCAGGAGTTATTTAGAATCAAGAAGATACACACACACACACATTTTTTAAAGCAAAGACAATTATTTTAAATTGCTCAATGTTACATTTTCTTTCCCTGGAACTTTTTTTTTTTGCATTAAAAAAGTGCAAGGAAAATTGAGCCAAGATATAGATTTAGCTAAGTTTTTGAAGGTTTTCTGTTTCTGTTTTCTTTGCTGTTGTTGACTTTTTTTTTTGGAGGGAAGATAGGATCAAAAGAGAAATTAGATTTTCCATCTTTGGTGTTTGGGGTAGTAACTGAGATCCCAAGGATAGATTCAAGTTAAGGCTGTCCTCACAGAATCAATCTTCCCAGCCTGTTCGCAAAACTGTGTACCGAGTGTGTATGCCGTAGTCGTGCACTTGCTTACACGGTGCTGTGTTTCTTACAGTTGACCTGGACAGGCTCAATGATGACGTCAAGCGTTACAGTTGCACTCCCAGGAATTACTCGGTCAACTTGAGAGAGGAGCTGAAGGTGACCAATGTGGTCTTCTTTCCACGCTGCCTGCTCGTGCAACGCTGTGGGGGAAACTGTGGCTGTGGAACTGTCAGCTGGAAGTCCTGTACGTGCAATTCAGGGAAAACTGTGAAGAAGTATCACGAGGTATGCCGTTTTCAGATTTCTTTGTTGCAGTGCTGCATTTAGCCCTTTTCAGCTGCAAAAGTCTTGTAATCTCTAGGCTGCTGGGAAACAGGGCCATTGTGTTGGTTGTTCACGTTGTTCACTGCACAGGGGCACCTCCCAGGGGGATGACTGGGAAATTGTACTCAAGCTAAATTTGCTAAGCTAGGTGCCCTGGGGAGAGTGCATCCTGAAGAAGGGTTTCCTTTTTCTAACCCTTATTCATAATATACTATGTTGGTTGACAACAGTCTTGTTAGTATACACAGTCAAATGTATGATGCAGTAATTTGAGAGCTTACTTGGCTTCCTTATAGAAATATGATGGGATTCATTTACAGTGTATGACTGCAAATCTAGGTTATGTTAAGAAAATGCTAAGAGCCAAACTTTAATTCAATCAAGTCATTGAAAAATGAAGCAAGGTAAAGATAGCAAAATATAAATTGTCAGAAAAGATACACTGTTGGAGACTTTTTCATTCTCTAAATATGGAAATATTTTTCTTCCAGAAGTACTAATTTTTCCTAAATATGACTGAGTGCTCTGAGGAATCAGCTCTGAAATTATGCAAAAATAAACAAAAGTAAACCTAAAGATATAAGAGGAACAAAAATTTAAGGAGAGCAGTAAACTTTGATGATAATAACAAGGAATGCATGTAAGCCTTTACTGTGTACCAGACATCATTGTAAGCAATCATTAGCTCACTTGGCAGTTTCTCCACAATGCTGACAGGGGAGTGCTATTTTTATTCCCTTTTTATAGATGAGTAAACTGAGACCAGCAGTAGATTGACCAGCGTGACTTGGTCAGTAACTCACAGAGCCAGGACCTAAACTGATCAACTGTTTCTAAAATCTATATTCTTATCACTAGTAACACTGTGCTCTCTGTTAAAAATATATAGCACTTTATTGAAGATTAAAGAAAGAGTGGACTTAAGGAGAGTTAGCACTGCTCTTGAAATTGAAGGCAACCCTATTACTTCCTGATTTTGTGAGTCACTAAAGTTTAGAGATGCGGTTTTCATGTGCGTGAAATAGGACTAAGAAATTTTATCGGATAATCCCGTAGAGGATGGTTCTGGGAAATCACATAAAACGGTGCATATGAAGTGCATTTTGTAAGATGTGAAACATCTTTTTGAAATATGTCTAAAATATAAACTAAAGGATTTCCCTGGTGGCAGAGTGGTTAAGAATCCACCTGCCAATTCAGGGGACATGGGTTCAAGCCCTGGCTTGGGAAGATCCCACATGCCACGGAGCAACTAAGCCCGTTCTCCACAACTACTGAGCCTGCACTCTGGAGCCTGTGAGCCACAACTACTGAGCCCACATGC